CATCTGGCAACCCACAGCCTTGATTCTTGAACTGCACAGCGGCAGTTTGTTTCTGAAGCAGCAGGTGAACCCAGTTTGCAGTCTGTCCATCACTTAGAGAACCAGCCAACACCAACCATCTGCCACCTCTTCTTTCCTTTGTTCCCCAGCCGCAGGGGTGGTAGCAGATCCTTAGTGTTTCTTTTTGGCTTTTTAATTCTTTAGTACATACTTAGCAATTCTTTGTATAAAGTTTTCTGTTAAAGTGACTGGTATAGACCCTGACTGATGCATAGACTTCCCAATAAAGTAATCACAGTTGGCATTGTTAAGCCTCCATGATGGTCAATGAAAAGAAAATTAAAGTAGGTCTATTTATGGCTTGTTAAATTTGCACAAATTTAAAAAGTTGATGTTATCTAGGTTGGTGAGGGTGCAGCGAAAAGTAAAAAGTTCCAGTATATTTTGCATTTTAAAGTGCTACAATCCTTTTTGGAAAACTATTTCCCAATATAGACCAAAGACATAAAATGTTTTTGCCCTTTGACCTTATACTTCTGGGAATCTATGAATGGAAAAATCCAAAATGTATGTACTAGGATATTTAGGCTAGTGTTATTTATAACCCAGAATAACTGGAAATAACCTAAATATCTAACAAAGGAGTAATAAGTTAAGTAAATTAGCTAGTGTAGACACCCAGTAGAATATTTTGTAGCCATTAAAAATGATCATTCTGAAGATTTCATGTAGTAAATGAAAAATACTTTGAAGTTAATGTGTGAGTGAGAAAAAACATACAGAGAAATGTGTTTCTTCTACTCCCACAGCACAATTATCAACACAGAAGACTGACTTCTGTGACCAAATGTGTGGGGACTTCTTCCTACTAGCAAGCAAGCAAGCAATTATCCAGTGGACACCAGCTGGTTGTCTGCCAATTTGATTCTGATGCTATCTGCCTGGAGATGGTGTCAGATCCCACAGGCTGGGGCTCAGTCCCCAAGACTGGCCCCCACTTCAGATGCCAGTTCTAAGTCCAGGCCTCTGAAATTCTGACCAACCAGCTATAAGTCAGATTTCCCACAACCCCCTCCTTGGGTTTGATTAGTTTGCTTAAGTGGCTCAGAAAACTCAAGAAGCATGTACTTATGTTTACCTGTTTGTTGTGAAGGATATTACAAGGGACACAAATGAAGAGATGCACAGGGCGAGGTACGGGGAAGGGGCGCAGAGCTTCCATGCCCTCCCTAGGGCCACCATCCTCCAGGAATCTCCACACGCTCAGCTATATGGAACCAGGCCTCTTGGGTTTTTATGGAGGCTTCATTCTATAGGTATGGTTGGTTAAATTGTTGGTGATCAGCTTAACCTTCAGTCCCTTTCCCCTCCATGAAGGTTGTGGGGTGGGACTGAAAGTGCTGTTTTGGTCTTTTCTGTGACCAGACCCCACCCTGAAGCTACCTAGGGGCGCTGCCAGCCATCACTAGCAAATGAAAGATTCTCATCACTTTGGCAGTTCTAAGGATTTTAGGG